TCACACCATTTCTTTATCTTCTCAAGTTCCTGTGTAACCCATCCAGAGAGTTGCTGTAGGTTTTCACCCGATGCCCATATGGTAGTGTCATCAGCAAATAAAACCACTTTCACTAAATCAGAAACCTTACATATATCATTAATGTATAATATAAATAATTTAGGTCCCAAAACAGAACCCTGAGGCACTCCACATACAATATCCAGCTCACTCGATTGGTATTCACCCAACTTCACAAATTGACGCCTCTGTGTCAAATAACTTCTAATCCATTTCAGAACCATTCCTCTGATCCCATATTTTTCTAACTTGTCCATTAATAATTCATGATTGATTGTGTCAAATGCCTTTTTTAGGTCAATAAATATTCCCATTGTGTATTTCTTCTCATCCATAGCACTTGTAATGTCCTCCATCAGGTCGGTAATGGCCAAAGATTCTCCTTCAATGGAATTAAGGGTCCGGACCAAACCGTGAAGAACCTTCCTGTACTAAAGCAAAACTGTTTTGGCTGCATACTTTTGGCTATACCACGTAAGTGGCTTTAAGAATGGGATACAACCTCTTGGGCTGACTCACTAATGCTGCTTATTACCACAACTGATTGGAATGGCAACTGACAATAAATAAATAAAAAAGGTCATAAAAAAACAAAAAATAATTTTAATAAAAGTTCTTTTCATGTCTTACCCTCAGTGTTTTCCACATAGCAGTAGACATCATACAGCTCATGGGGTTCTACCAGTCCATAGTTCCTCACTCCTGGCAGTGCATCCATGTCTCCAAAGCAGCCCTTTCTTGGTGTCTGAATGGGATATCTGTGGAAGCAAATGACACATGGCACTGAAACACCAAGTACCTCCTCTTCTGTAACAGCACCAGGCATCACATTTGTACAAGATCTTCTCTGAGTGCTGTTTGGTTTGTGATCAGTCAAGTGTCTCTCAGCTACTTGATGGTCTGTGTGTTCTAATGTGCAGCTGTAGAAAGCATATCGAGCGTTAGGTGGCTGAGTAGCCCACTAGCATCCTCCATACTGGATGGTCCCTCATTCAGTTCAAGAACTTTGTGTTTTTGTTAGTATAGAGCTGTGTTAAGCAACTGGGCTGCTGCCAGATGTACACAAGTCTGAATTCCACATAACACAGAATGCAAAATTTCCTAGGCCACTCAATCCAGTGTGTCCTGTTTGACAGTGAGCCACTTTCTCTTTGCTCCTCACCTCACTGACTGATCTGAGAGCCAGCCTGCATCGCACTGCTCGTATCCACTTTGGTAGGCGGCCATGAGTTGCTCTGGAGTGGCAATCTGAGCCCCAATCTCCTCGCAGGCCTCTCTGGCCCGCTCAAAGGTAAAGGCGTAGCGGCTGGAGGCATCACGATAATGGAACACCACCCCTGTAAAACCCAGATTGAGAGCTATGTGAAATATGGGTCCTGTAGTGTTTTATGGGATCTCTCTGCAAAAGCAACATTAGAGGCAAACCTGTGTAGGTATAAAAACCTCACCAACAGTCAAATAGAAGTGGTACTGGACTTTCTGCTGTCTGTTATAGTGAAAGCAGCATTCAGGGCCTGATATACTAGCTCAGAAATAACTGTGGTAAGAGGATCTATAGTCTATTACTTGGTGGCAGCACTAATGAGACAGGCATTTATCAGAGTATGTACTGTGTAATATAGATAAAAGAAAATGAGACAAAGTAGCTTTTTCTGTTCTCCAGAAGACAGTTTGTTTGGCCTTGATTATTTTCATGGTGTCCTCCAAACTACTTTTCACTAACTCAGTCAATATATCATGTTCTATCAATGTTGTCAGAATATTTAGCAGAATTATTCTGATGTTTGTTCTGGTAGAAAACACTTAGATAACCCTGGTGAAAAGTGCTGCACATTAAACACTGCTTTCTGCTCATTTATCTCAGTGTGCCTTTTATTTTTCTTTTTTGCTTGACAAACAAGAAGAATATGTGTGTGCTGGTTCTGAAGATGCAGCACTGTGTGACAGTTATTCAATAGCAAATACATTCTAATGCAAAGGCCCTGCAATAAACACAAATTTTGTAAAGGTCACTCAGGTTGTGTTGACACAGAGGGGAGCTGTTTATTTTAAGCAGCTATAATCAATATTATTATAACACCAATATATTAGATGACAGCATGAATGGGAGAAAAAACTCTAGAAAAGCAACTGTCAGCAACAAACAGACCCATTCAGACACCAGCTGGTGAACACAGTGGAGCATTTAGCAGCTAAAGAGCCAGCGATTTTCCTCAGGAGACAGTGGAGACAAAACACATTGCTAACAGAGAGGGAACACTGGTCTGAGACTCATCAGGTGAACACAAACCCTAATGCACATGAACGATACTTTCTCCATTAGGTGTGAAAATAAGTAACTGTTTGCTAACAAGTTGCCATCAGCAGTGATAATACTGTATGTGTTCACACTTTGCTTCCCAAGTGGACAAAAAATCAGTTATTCAGGTTTCATTTCAGGGTCATTTTTGAGATAATTACCTTATACAAGTGGACACACGATAGTTCATGTACATTAAAAAAACTGGACATGACTAACTTCACAAACACACCTGCAGAATCCAATGCATGGTCAGATGTCCTTGTTTTGTCCAACATCAAACTGTTAAATTCTAAGTTATTTTGTGCTACATGCTTTAATTTGAATTGTTTAACATTCTTTAAATCTTTTTAAACATCTATATATTCTGTTCCTTACTGGGCTGTATCTTGTTATTCTAATCTGTTTCTCACCTTTGACCTTGACCTGGGCTACATCATGAGTGTCCTCCAGGCCCTGCTGCACCTCACAGCGGTAGAACCCGCTGTCATTCTGCCTGACACTGTCCAGCCGCAGGGTGAGGTCGGTGGGGGAATAGGCGTAATTGAGCAGCGTAGCTCGGTCTTTGTAGGCCTCGCTGACTCTCACCCTGTCACCGCGGGCCACCAGGATCTCAGCCTCTTGGTCATGAATCACTACACTCCATTTGACCCGGGGGAGAGACAGCACGGCATGGCGGCCATTGGTGGAGGGGGAGGGCGGTAGGTGAGCCAGAGACATCAGGCAGGGTAACGTCAGAGAGCCACCCAGCACAGCATCCACAGGCGAGGTGGTGGGAATGGTCACATGGAGAAGCGTGGAATCATCTGAGGAGAGGCAGGGTTCACAGTGATATGTGACATTTTAATAATTACAGTTATAAATTGTATTGATGAGAGGTAAATGAGAAGGTTGATACCATCCTCATGACTGTATGTTAAGTATGAAGCTGTAACCAGATGAGAGTTAGCACAGGGACTCGAAGCAGGGGGAAACAGTCTGTCTCTGTCCTAGGATAACAGGCACACCCACTAACACCTATAAAACCTCGTGTTTGTTTAATCCGTTCTAACACAGAAATGTTAAAGCAACAATTTTTGGTTTTAGGGGGAGTTGCCTGTTGGACTTTTCCTGCCTGGCAACCCCAAAATGATGGAAATCCACCAGGAACTCACTGCGCCCAGCTGTTATTCTCAACAGATGAGAGTAATTCTTAAAATGTGAAACTATTTACAGACTGCTAGAACATTACATATACTAGCAGCTCAAGACCTGCCATTTTTGTGTCATTATGTTTCATGGCATTAGTAGCACTAGAGACATACCTGCAATGTAGCTATACCACACAGTTACCAGCCAAAAGAAAATAAGACTGTGGGTGTACTTAGGTACAGCGGTACTTGGCTACACGCTAATGTTAGCATGGCATGTGGATGTTTAGCAAGTATAATATATAATAATAGTAATATTCCTCATATTAGTTTAGCATGTTAGCATTTTAACATTTACTAATTAGAATTAAACACAAACTAAAGCTAAAAGCAACACACTGCAAAAAAAAAACTGCAAAAACATAAAGGTGGAAGAAGGGAAAATGACAGAAATGGTGGGAAATAAAGAAAACTGGTGCAGAGTAACTAGTCATTAAATCATAATGAGATTATTATATTTACAAAAGAGCCCAAATCATTCCAAATAACACTCAACAATTCTAAAAGAGTCACTTCCCTTTTATAGTCCTGTAGGAAAACCCTACAACCAGTCCTGACCTTTAATGTTGGACCACAAAGCAAAAACCTTAATTAGACTACTCACTAGCATAACTACAGTATACAGGCATATACAGTATATGTGTTTGTTGCTACACCATAGCACACAATGACAACAATTTCTCTGCAGGAGATTTGTATGGTTGTTATCAGCAGTGTAACAGTAAGAGTAACTGTTGTTCCTGCTGGTCACCAATAGAAGTGACGATTCTTTCTTTCATATTTCATGTCATCACATGATTTGTTGCCTTATAATGTCACTACATTATATTCAGCTGTATCAGTTAGAGACACCCTTGAAAGAAGCTTCCAGAGTGCGTGTCTGTAAAAACAATGAACGACAGGAAATTATTAAGGAGCAACCTGCTGCCTTAGGTCAAAGATCACATATGATTTAATGGAGTCACAGGTGTCAGCGGTGGATGGTAGCAGTGACATTGAGGAGGGGGGTTACCTGACTCACGGTCGAGGGTTGAGGACGACGGCAGGACCAGGAGACAGATGGCGCACAGTGGCACGAGCAGAAGCATGTCCAGTCTGTGGGTAAAGGACAGCTGTTTGAACACAACCAGGAATTCTGGGCAGCAGAGCTGAAGTTTGCTTCAGCTGGAAAAGTCTAATTAACATTTCACTGGCTACTTGACACCAAAAAGAATTCAAACTATGAACAAATGATGCTACCTTGCTGAAACTTTACTTAGACTGAAGTGAAAAAGCAGCAGACTTTATCATCAGGCACTGATGGCAGCTGTTCCTTTCACTGAAGACTTTTCACTCTTTTACTTTTGCACCTTAGACTTCATTCTTCACAGAACAGCGGGCCGACAAAAAGAACTGTGCAAACAACACCAAGTGACTTGCTCACTATCTGCAAATGTGTGAATTCATTCACTACAGAGACCAAGAAATAAAACATATTGACTCAAAACTCTGACCCATTCATCAAACTGAGAGTAGAATAAACACACAGCTTTCATCACATTTAAACCACAGCTAAAGTAAAAGCCTGTGAGCAGATATCAGCAGTGTTGCTGCTGGA